TTTTTGAGATAGAATAGTCATTTTTGCGATATTAGAAAAAAGGCAAAATATAAAAAAAAAAAGGGTTGAAACCCCTTGCAACATGACTAAAGGTGTCATAAGATTATAAATTACAGCATGATTTCATATTTCTATATTGATCAGCTATGTCCTCAAAAAATATATATTAAAAAAATTTCAAATTGTCCCTACTTGGTGTTGGGAAGCTTGAACAATTTAGGGTAAGTTGATAATTCTAACCTCAAAAGAAGCCGTAATAGAATAACAATTGAGGGCAAAATTACCAAAATACTCATAACTATCATAGCCTCCCAAAACCGAACAAGGCAATTTGAAAAAAATTAATATTTTTTGAGGATGTAATGATTGATACATAAATTTAAAAAAATGCCTTCAAGTATTTTTGGACCCATTCAGTGATATTACGAGGACTTAAAACCCCTTCTTTGATATTGTCCCTAGAAATAATAATAAGTTCTTAAACACCTAAATCTAAATGGCTGGAAAAATAGACAATTTATGTTTAGCCTTGTATGTGAAATTTTTTTTTTTTTTAATGTTGACTTGGGACCTTGTAGAATAGAACTCTACAACACCATGTTGTGAGAAAACATTCTCTCCGTGGCATGAATTTTTCAAGCTATTTTAGAATCGATACATGTGTTTCTTTAAGTTAATCTCTAGCAATTCGCATTCCCAAAATATGGGAAAGTACTCGTGGCTAGGGTTTTGCTCAAAAGTGCAAGCGTAGCTCTAGTTATATTCCACAATTAGGTCATATAGTCCAGGTAAAGGTTTCTATATTTCTCTTATTGTATAGAAGTTGTATACTTCTCCCATGCAGCCTTCTGAATTTAGATTAAATAAGCCATTGACCATTTCATCTAGATCCAATGTCTCGGAGTATTTATTTTTAATTTTTATTTTACAAATTATATGAATATGAAATTTCGTATGTATCATCATCTCAATGAGACGCACTTAAAAAAAAAAAATTCAATACAATAAAATAACCAAAATACCCCTAAAAATTTCAAAAGTATTTTGGTCATTTTATTTTTCAAGTGTGAGTTTCAGATAGGAGTGGACACCCAAAATTTGAGGTCAAAATGTTTCGTAGAAAAAAACTAAAAACAAAATAGTATCAAGGCATGACATTATAATTGGATCCATCTCAACTGTTCTTTCAAATCTCACAGCTAAATAAAGAAAATTATATAATTATTATATATTTGGATAAATATAGAAAGTTTTCCACAGGTATAAGTAAAATAAATCCCTTGTCAAGGTCCTCTCTTACTGTCACTGATCTGTAATCTATGGTCGTGGAGCACCCTTTTTGGTTTGTATGCCTTTTTCCACACAACTGAATTTGGCAGCCAAGGTTAGTGCATGATCCAATTCAAGGCTTGAAAAGACAACTAAAGAAAATAGGAAAAGTTGGTACATTTGGTACCAAAGAAAAATCATTGTTTTTGGGGGACACAGCCTCAAGTAATCTTTATTCATATCTAAGATCAATCTAGAAAAGTTAGATCTCAAAAAATCAAACCTCCCTTCAAGACTCACTTCAGACATTAGTGACATCCAGTCATGTGTGGACTTTTAAAAGCTCAAACTCAATTTCTTCTTTTTCTTGAATTGAAGATGATTTGGAAAATCTAAGGTAAGAAAACTTCCCCTTCAAGGTTTTTCACTATACAAACCCGGGAATGATTTTATGCATGGGTTGTATAATAGTATAATGCAATCATCTTCAAAAATCATGTTCAAGACATTTGTTTGACACGAATTTTTAAATGTACATGCTTGTCATTCTGAAGAACAATCATAAAAAAGAAAATTTTGAAAAATTGCTACATAAAGTTTCATTCTAGCCCAATTAATATAAGCCGTCCATTTTATTGAGATCGATAGATATAGGCCTCAAAAAGATTTTTTTATTCCTAAAATTTTTATATAGCATTATCATCATTAGATTAATAATGCCAAAAATATAAAAAAGTAATTTTGAATTTGTTAAGGCCTAATGGATGATCAAAATTCAATGTTGGATTGATTATACGGATGGGTACTAATTTTGACAATATCGGTACTAATTTTGACCATATCTAGAGTGCAAATTGAAATTTTTTTTCCTAAGATTGATTACGAGGACGAAGAGAATGTGTTTGCAAAATTTGAGATCATATAAATACTAAAAATATGGTTTTCTAAAGATGTGGTTGCATTATACTACTATACAACTATTGCATTAGATCATTTCCCTACAAACCCAATAAGCATTTTTTTTTTTTCTTTTCTGAGACTTGTTAGTGGTTGGAATGGAGAGTAGGAAGTTATGTTGAAGCATCTTTAGGAAAAAAGACGAAGCACAAATCACTCCAAATCATGATTCTCCAAATTAGAGTTTATTTCAAGTTCCAAAAGACGCTTTAAATCTCTCAATGCATCGTCTATTTAAAATAAGCTTGTTTTGGGGTGACATGTAAAGCAATTTTTTCTTTTTAGTTTTTTCATTTTTTCTCTTTTTTTTTTTATTTGTCAGCTTACCTGTTTTGAGTGCAAAAAACAAACCCAATTTATTCTTGAAAAAATTTCGTATAGAACTCTAATTCTTAATATTATTTCATGGTAGATCATCTTTCTATTTTCTTTCAAGCAGCATAAATAAATCTCTAAGGATTTCACTGTATCCCCTCATCTCTTATCTCCTTATGTTACTGACTTTTGATCATAAAAATTAAACCCAACAAATCTTTTTATATCATTTTATCTCATAAACTCTTTTAACCATCTTTTTCTCTTTCCACCCATTTAAAAAGTTTTTGAGTCGAAATGATATAAAAAGATTTATTGGAGCTAATTTTTATCATCAAAAGTCAATATAAGAAAAAATAAGAGAAGAGAGAATATGATGAAATCTTTAGGGGTCTTCTTTTGCCACTTGAAATGAGAGTCTACTATGAAATAATACGAGAAATTAAAGTTCTATACAAAACTTTCCCTTTATTCTTTATGAACATTTTTGTACACCATCCTCATACCATGTTCAAGGTATAGAATTAACGTTAATATTCCAAAGAAACAAAACTATTATATTTGGGAAAGAACAAGGGCTTTTGCTCCCAACCATATACGCGAAGGGTGAAGATTTCCCATTAAGAACAAAGAACTCCTTTTTCAGGTTCCCCACAAAGGCTGGAACTCTTTTTTTTCATTGGTCACCAAATGCCATCTCTTGGTTCCAATAAACAATGGAAGATAACACCACAACTATTAAGACCTGAACTAGCTGACTAGTTGGACCCAACCAGACCCAAGACCCCACCTCAAGCCCAAGTCTGGGTCCAAATTTTGGACCTGAATACCATTCGAGTCCGGGTCTGGATCCTACCCGTAGTAATAGGGTGTAGTCTGATAGGTTTTCATATTGGCACATTTACAATATTATTGGCAAAAAAAAAAACACTCATAGGCATAGGGTATGATGGTAAAAAATAAGGGAAAATAATAATACTTATAATAATAAGCTCATAGTATGGCAATAGATCTGACCAAAACCTAAACCTAGGACCCGACCCATTGCCCCCCTACCAATGCTTTGACCAATCTGATCTGAATTAAAATCCGTATTTAGTCAAATGCCAATCAAAATACGCGAAGTGCCAGTCCAAATCATTGCTTGGCTGACTTAGACCAATCTAGTCAACCAGTTTGGACTGATTTGAGTAGCCACAACTTATTTTGAAATATTATATATCTTTAAATTATTTTTCATATTTATTTATATCTATATATATTAAGATCCAATCCAACAACGGATTCAGTAGGCCAATCCTAATAACACTCGATAGAACAGCTTCCTCTCTCTTTCGCAACCTCTCTCTTCCCAAGAAAGCAAACTGAACTAACGACCACTTCTCTTCCTACTACGGCCTCACCCAGGAGGAGGGGGAGGGACTAAAGGTTTTCCCTCTCCCCCCTAACACCAAAAAGAGAAGGGAGGAGAGAAACTACAGGTTTGTTTGCAAATGATGGGAGATTGCTTGCACAAGGGACTGGGAACAACAGATTTGGGTTTCTATCAAATTTCAAGAACATGGTCAAGAACAGACAAAGATAACAGAGAGATCCAAGGTCATTGGGGAGCGTTAAAAGACGACACGTGATTAGGAGCTAAAGTATCATATACACCTAAAAAGCAGAGTAGGATAAGTACACCTAAAAAGCAGATCAAAATAACCCATGAGCCATCTCCCCTTTCATGAGACATGCAAGGAGTAGGCCAAGCAACAGGGCCGGATCAGGGCAGCCCAAGCCTCACATGAACCCAGCAGGCCAAAACAGTTTGTGGGCCTTGACAGGGAGGGCCAAGCGAGGCTCAGCTGCCTGACCCCAGCCATGATCAGCCCGATTCGGGCACAGCCCTACAGGCCAAATGGTGTCTGTTGGTCCCAAGCTGGGTCAGCTTGGCCATACAGAAACTGTCCGTGATTCAGAATAGATGGTGGAAACCAAGATGAAGTATGCAAACAGTATAGAGGGTAGCAAGTATGAAAAGGAATCCGGCTTGGGTTAAGGTGGTAGCAGCTGGGTTTTCATTTCCATTCCTTTGTAACCTGGTCAAAAAAACAAAAAAAAGACCCCAAGTATGAAAGAAAATAACTATATACGTAGACAACTCTGATTTATGTAAGATTGAATTAGATAGCAAGCTTTTTTCTTTCTTTTTTTGACAAATAATCAGATAGCAAGCTTTTAATATTACTTGCAAACCCATTCCATCAAAATCTCCAAGAACTAAGAAATGAGAGAGAAACAGATTAAAATGTAAGCGTGATTTAGTCTAAATATCTAATATCGAGACAGATTAGTTTACAATGTGATGGCTCAGAGTCCAAGGAGACTTCCTATATCAAAAGCCAAAACCACTGATTAAGAACCCAATCCTGTCTTCTGTCATGTTTTCGGTAAATTATGTTTCTTGCAGTGAAAAATTACTGGCTCATTAGCTCAAGTCACATTAAGAGAGAACAATATCAAATGTAAACTCAACTAAGGGTGAGGTCTTCACTCAGGTAAATATCATATCTTGCCAAGCATGCCCAACAAAGAACAGAATACCAAAAAGAAAAAAACTAAATTCGCATGCAAAAGTAAATTGATCTCATCTGTTAAAAATGGTTACCAAGACATTGGTATGAAAAAGTCTATGGTTACCAAGACGTTGGTATGAAAAAGTCTACTGCCTAAGTTCCACTTTCTTCTTGCTCCACAATCTATCCAGTGCTCCGTCCGCATCACCCTATGGACCAAATTGCAATGAAACACAAGCTAAATTACAGCCATATACAGATTATATAAATTGAAATTTCAAAAAATAGTTCTGCTGTATCTAGAAAAGATATTGTTAGATTGCAACAGTTGGTTTTCCTCAGGCACTACTGACAATCTAGATCGAGAACCAGGAAAGGATGCATAACTTAAAATGTTTTTCTTTCTAGGTACTGCATAGCATAAAATGATCAGAAAATCAAGAATTTTAATGTCTGAAATGCCTAGAATGTCAACCAAATAAAAATAACACCCAAGAATGACCAAACTACAATCTAATCAATTTGAGCAAAACGCTTCATATAATAAAAATTACAACATGTGTTTTGATGATAACTAGCCAGCATCCAGCAGGTTTTCACCTAAACTTGGGATTCTAGACCACATCAACCCCACTTGAAGCAATGTCAACATAGACTACAAATCTACTTCAATAAAGAGTAGTTCCAGTAAGCTCCAAACTGAAGATTCATCGCCACACCACATATCGCCCAGGAATCCAATGTAAGTATCCTCCTCAGCCATAAAACTAGTAGCTCTGAAAATTTTAACTCCAAAATACTGACATCTCATTGAACCAATGAGTTTCCACATGAGAGACTAAAAACCGCACCTGCACTTTTAGCATGGAATGTGCTCAAAAGTAACAGTAATAAGACCTACAAACATGTAAAGTCTCCTCCATACGGCCTTAATCCATCCCATACAGAGACTCCTACCAGACCTGCTATATTTAATGTAAACATCCCGTAAAAGCAACAGTGCAAAGAAACGGGAAGCAAATCATTCAGGCCTTTGGTCGAGACTCAACAGCCACTTCTGCTAGAATCAAGTCACAACCCCGAGCAGGCAGTGAAAGGCCATTTCAATAAGGGGAGGGCCTTCTCTAGACAATAATCACCCAAAGAATAGGGATCTTGGAGGAGTAGAGATGTCCCATATGAGAGTCCAATGAACTCCTCATTTTTCCAAAATGTATAATGTCAAAGAAAGACCCAAAATATAAGGATGTCCCCGTACCAAGATTAAACTATCCTATGCAAACAAAATGGAAACAACACAGCCTTGAGCCCACACAAAAGCTGGTGGTGCAAATTGGTAAGTCCCAAACCCTAGTATACATTGTAAACAGAAACACCACACTTCCCTCATTTCCTCGTCTTGCAACAATTTGCTTGTCTTGCTGTACTTGAAAACCTGACATGCAATGGAAGTTCCCCCAAAACTATTACTTAGAAAAATGTTTATTCCCTCGTCATCCAAACCCTAACATCCTGAATTTCAAGCCTGATAAACAGGTATTTCTCTACACTCTGAACACCTAAAGAACATACCTATATATCAGACCCCCCATCGCACCCTTTCCTTCTATACTTACCAGTCAAAACCGTCCCATGCAAGGTATTCATATGAACTTTCAAACACCAATCCTACTTTCCTATCAAAGTCTGATTAATAAATTACATCCAATGAATCCACAATAAAAATGACCCTAGGCTTCCAAACTGTTGCCACATCACCAAATTATATTTCTATCCCATACCATTCCCTTGAGATGATACTTTCAATTTCTCAACTAGCTGAATGGAAATCTAAAGATAAAAACATAAAGTACAGAACATAAGATAAATTTCATCAGGATAAGTCTGCCAAATAAAGAAACTTTCCTTTCCATAAGGCAGTCCTCAATTTTGCACCACCCACTGATCAGATGCATCCCCAAATGTGGGTATTTCAATCCTCTTGAAGAAACACAACTCCAGGAAAAACAACCCAAAGGACTTTCATATTCCTTTTCTAAATTTTTGGCACTGCATATTTATCATTTTGCAGACTCGGTAAAAAAAGGGAACTATTTTTTACTTTTTCTTCCTGTATATATCCCACAAGTGACGATGATGATGATGATATCCCATGAATGTTTTCCTGATGAATATAACTTATTTCTTAGCTTTGAAGAAAACATCACAGAAAAAGTAATGCTGATACTACAGAAAGCACACGTGCACAGCCACTCCCATGCTAACATGTGGGAGAACATGCACAATAGCATCTAATTCATTTATCGTGAAGTTTTATAAGACCATTAAAACAAATTAAGCCAGATTTCTAAAATTGAATGAAAGAGTAAATAATACAAGCATGCTCCAAAGTACAGGTGAAGAAGGAAACCTGGGCACGAACAAAACCACAAAGGGCGAAGGTGGTGAACTGTCCATGATACAGCCCATTCTCATCCAGGTGCCCAATATTTATCTGAACAGATGCATGGTCCTTCGAAGTAATGAGCCGATTGGTTGCAGAGCTGCAAGACAATCAAGACAGAGCAGGTCAATAAGGATAGAGCACTCAGATCCATAATTTACCAAAGATAAGTATTCAGATTGGTAAGCAGGAATCAAGAGCTTGTGCGTAAGCATGGATATCAAATATAATGACCAACCAACAAACTACAAAGCGGGAAAGAAAGAAAGAGAGAGAAAGAGAGTAGCATAAATTTTGACCTACCATTTCCTTGGGATGTAAAGATCCATGTTTTGTCCTTCTTCGTTCTGCATTTTGTCAAGAATCTAACAAAAACGAAGGACACTGGAAAATGTCTAACCACCTGCAATAAAAAGTACGTCAATATAAACTTGTTTGTTCATCTAAGGGCAAACAATCCAATTCTCTTGAGAGAGAAATCTACCAATGTCAATTAGCAAAACATTTATGTGATAGTTTGATCAGCATAATGTGAGTAGGGGTGGCAATGGACCAAGACCCGACCCATACCCGACGGGTATACCCAACACAGGTCCGGGTATGGGTCCAAGTTTTGGACCCGCAGGTAGGGTCTGGGTCCAATAAAGGATACCCGGATAGTCCCGGGCCTGGGTACAATCTTGCTATACCCAACCCAACGGGTAGCCGGACCTGAATTTTTAGTTTATAAATTTTTTTTAGGTATATAATGTGAAGGACTAAATAGTGACACCTGAAGATCTACCTCAATGTAAGGTTTTGAGTTTCATTTTACCCAAACTCCAAAAGCTAAAACCTAAAATCCCCAAATGGAGTACGCCTGCTTGTCCTCTGCTGCTCATAGCTCTGCAAGTGCCTCACTGGTTTGCCCCAAATCGCCATTACCCTCTCTCAAAGTTCTTTGAATCTTCTAGGGAGAAAGCTGGACTCTCTCGCTAAGTATCTTTATCACTCCCCCACTTCTGGGGAATCCCCACCATCCCATGAAGCACCAACATCCTCCTCATCTCTTTCTCTCTCTCCTCTCCCTCTTTCTCTCTCTGATGATTTGTCTTCTTTATGGTCATTGTGCCATGGTTAAATTTCTTTGTAGAGTCAACCGTCAATTATGAAGAACGATGGCTTATGTAAGACCTTGCAGTCTATGTGAAGCCTTTCATGGAATCAAATGCCATAAATTTAGAAGCAGCAGAGTATATGTGAAAAAATTTGCAGTCCATACTCTCTCTCTCTCTCTCTCTCCTTCTCTCTCTCCTTCTCTCTCT